AGTAGACAGTTCCTGCCCACTTTCCGTATAACTTGGGGATGTTCTCAGACTCCGCGTTAGTACTTACCCTGGCCTGCTGTAATATTGCCTGGGCTTGAGCTTCCTGAGCAGACAGCATTGGTCCCTTCTCTCCTGCACTGCCACCACCAGTGAAACGGAACTGCAGGAATAAAAATCCAGCAGTGAGTGTCTTCAACAGATACACTAACATTCATAGGCCAGTGAGCAACCTCACTGCTAACATCTTGTAACCATTGCATCCTGTCTGTGAAGGCTCAGTCAGTATGTGTAGAGAGACAGCGTTGAGAAAGCTTTACTCTCTATTTAACCCTGCTCCCCCTGTCCTGGGAGTGTTTGATGGGGACAATGTAGAGGGAGTTTACTTTCAGTTTATTTTCAGACTGAAAGAGTACACATAGAAACATAGAAAATATGTGCGGGAGTAGGCCACTCAACCCTTTGAGCCTGTACCACTACTCAATACGATCATGGCTGACCATACAATCTCAGTATCCCATTCCCACCCTCTCCCCATATCCCTTGATCCCTTTAGCCGCAAGGGTCATGTCCAGCTCCCTCTTGAATATATCTAACAAACTGTCCCCAACAGCTTCCTGTGGGAGAGAATTCCACAGGTTCACAACTCTGAGTGAAGAAATTCTTTCTCATCTCAGTCCTGAATGGCTTACTCCTTATTCTTAGATCATGACCCCTAGTTCTGGACTTCCCCAACATCGGGAACATTCTTCCTGCATCTAGCCTGCCCAGTCCCATCAGGATTTTATATGTTTCTACGAAATTCCCCCTCATTCTTCTAAATTCCAGTGAGTACAAGCCCAGTCAATCCAGTCTTTCCCCCTATGTCAGTCCTGCCATCCTGGGAATCAGTCTGGTGAACCTTTGCTGGACTCCCTCAAGAGCAAGAATGTCCTTCCTCAGAGTAGGGTGCCAAAACTGCACGCAATACTCAAGGTGTGGCATCACCAAGGCCCTGTATAACTGCAGCAAGACATCCTCACTCTTATACTCAGATCCTATCGCTATAAAGGCCAGCATGCCATTAGCCTTCCTCACCGACTGCTGCACCTACATGCCAACCTTCAGTGACTGTTCCACCATGACACCCAGGTCTCATTGCATCTCACCATCTCCTGAACTGCCATCATTCAGTTAATAATCTGCTTTCCTGCTTTTGCCACCAAATTGGATAACCTTGCATTTGTCCACGTTGTACTGCATTTGCCAACTATTTGCCCGCTCAGCCAGCCTGTGCCAAGTCACCCTGTAGCCTCTTAACATCCTCCTCACAGCACACACTGCCACTCAGCTTAGTGTCATCAGAAAATTTGGAGATATTGCATTAAATTCCTTCGTCCAATTTGTTAATGTATATTGTGACCAGCTGGGATCCCAGCACTGAACCCTGTGGTACCCCACTCGTCACTGCCTGTCAGTCTGAAAAGGACCCATTTATTCCAACTCTCTGCTTCCTGTCTGCCACCCAGTTCTCTATCCACCTGAATATATCATCTCTGACACCATCAGCTTTAATTTTGCTTACTAGTCTCTTGTGTGGGACCTTGTCAGAAGCCTTTTGAAAGTCAAGATACACAATATCCACTGATTCATCCTTGTCCACTCTACTGGACACATTCTCAAAAAAATTCCAGAAGATTTGTCAAGCATGATTTTTCTTTCGTGAATCCATGCTGACTGTCACCGCTTTCCAAAACGCTCAGTTATTACATCCTTCATAGTTAACTCCAGCATTTTCCCAACCACTGAAGTCATGCTAACCGGCCTATAATTCCCATTTTCTCTCTCCCTCCATTTCTAAAAGGTGGGGTTACATTAGCTACCTCCAGTCCATTGAAACTCTTCTAGAGTGCGTAGGATGCCTGAAAATGATCACCAATGTGTCCACTGTTTCTAGGGCACTTCCTTAAGTACTCTGGGATGCAGAGCATCAGGCCATGAGGACTTATCAGGCTTTAATCTCATCAATTTCCCCAATACTGTTTCCTGACTAATAAAGATTTCCTTCGGTTCCTCCTTCATGCTTGACCCTCTGTCCCCTAACATTTCCTGAAAGCTTTTTGTGTCTTCCTTAATGAAGACAGATCCAAAAGTATTTGTTCAACTGATCTGCCATTATTTTGTTGTCCTTTTATGAGTTCACCTGATTCTAACTGTAAAGGGACCCTCATTTGTCTTCACCAGCCTTTTTCTCTTTATATATCTATAGAAGCTTTTGCAGTCAGTTTTTATGTTTTCCCCAATCTTAATCTCGTATTCTATTTTCCCCTTCTGAATTAAACCCTTTGTCCTCTTCTGCTGAATTTTAAATTTCTCCCAGTCATCAGGTTTTCTGCTTTTTCTGGCCAGTTTATATGCTGCCTCTTTTGCTTTAACCTTATCCCCAATTTCCCTTGTTAGCCATGATTGAGCCATCTTCCCTGGTTTACTCTTATGCAGACAGGGATGTACAGTTGTTGAAGTTCATCCATCTGTTCTTTAAATGTCTGCCATTGCCTATCTGCCATCAATCCCGTAAGTAGAGAGATCTTTACTCTGTCTCCAGCCCCACGCTATGCCTTCCTGTTGAAATAGGTCCACAGGCTGGTATCCCATCACCAGGTCACGTTTTAATTACACAAGAACAGTCCTCGACTCTTGCACTGCCTCCTCACAGTCAGCTCTCAGAGCGCCAGTATCTCTGATGCTCTCTGCTTTATCCGTCAGCCAGGGCTCCCCGACTGGACCAGGTTAACAGCCCAAATCAGGGAACTCATATTCTATGAGGTCTAGCTGGGAGTCCTGTCACAATCACGACATCCTTCCCCCTCTGTGTCCAAGGACATAGGATGATCCTTTTTCTTGGAGAGCCTTGGGACAGGTTCCTCAGACTCGGCGCTCAGTACAGATGGCGTGTAACGCACGGGAGCTCACCTCTTGCACCAGGGGTGCCTCAGTAGAATTACATTCCCTTCTTCTGGCAGCAAAGGCATCGGGGCACCTACATTGACCATGTCCTTCCTTGATTCTGAGCACTTGTCAAACCTTGACAGTGAGGGTCAAACCAGCAGCCTTTTCTAATGTTCTGAGAGGTAGGTCATGTTTTGCTTCATTTATAATTTCACGGTTTGGATACGGTCCACATGCTTGTAAGGACAGCTGCACTAAACCAAACTTTACACATCACTGGTCCAGACCTCATGTCAAACGTGCCTCTTACCCATGTAGGACCATTCCCATGATTCTTACACCTTCATCCCATGTACAAACTGTTTCTCTCGCTTGGCGGACCCTTGTGTCTGACATTGGCCTTCCTGATGCTGTTTCACTCTCTCTACCAGGTCCAGGGAGATCAGATTTAACCTTGCGCAGAGTCTTCTCCCCAGTAGCAACTCTGTCAGTGCTATCCCTGCAGTTGCATGTGTGATGGTTCCATAATCAAACAAGATGTTGGTATCTAGTGAGACTGTAGGCTGTTTCTTCAATCCAGCTTTCAAAGTTTGGACTGCTCTTTCCACCAGGCCATCGGATGATGGGTGGTACGGAGATGTCCTTATCTGTTGAATCTCATTTGACTTTAGGAAATACTCAAATTCCCTGCTGGTAAATGAAGACCTGTTATCTGTGACCAATACTTCCAGGACTTTGTGCGTTGGAAAAGATGCACGCAGTTTTTCCATCATCATCCCCCTGTTTGATGAATGAACTCTACGCATATCTGGTCACTTTGAGTGGGCGTTTACAATGACAAAGAACATTGAACCCATGAAAGAACCATGAATGAATAGTCAATATGCAACCGAGTCCAGGGTTTACCCGGCCAAATGTGGGGGAGCTGCTGGTGGTAATTTCTGTCCTTGTTGGCACATTGGCCACTGCCCCACCAACACGACTATGTCTGCATCTGGCCTGGGCACCAGACATAACCTCTCTCCAACATCTTCATTTTGGAGACCCCTAGGTGGCTCTGGTGCAGTTCAGCCAATATCTGGGGGTGACCTTTGCTCGGGACAATCACACTTGCTCCCCGTAATAATCTGCCGTCCTGTGCTGTGATCTGGTCTCTCCGGGTCCGAAAGGTTTCAGTTCTGGTTTGTGACGGCCCTTTGGTTTCCCCCATTACCACCAGCTGTTTCAGTTTTGCCAGGACAGGACCTTTCTGCGTCCAACGTCTGATATTGTCAGCTCTGACTGGGAGTGCGTCCAGAAAATTAAAAATTATTACGGACTCTTCCAATGGCAGTACCACCCAGCCTGCTCTTCCGTGGCCATTATGGGCAATTTAGCCTGGCTAATCTACCTAACCTGCACATCTTCGGACTGTAGGAGGAAACCAGTGAACCCAGCAGAAACGCACGCAGATACAGGGAGAATGTGCAAACCCCACACAGACAGTTACCCGAGGCTGGAATCAAACCTGTCTCCCTGGCACTGTGAGGCAGCAGTGCTAACCACTGAACCACCATGCTGCCACACACTCCTGGATACTGGCATAAGAATTCTCTTACTCCCTTTAGGTCTAGTTTTGCTGAGACCGCATACCAGCAGCAACTACAATGGTTTGCCAGCCTGCATCCTGAAGAAAACTTTAACTGTTTAGCTGAGACTTCACTTTGTTTTGGCGTTTTGCTGGGGCTGACCTAGAGTCCCGCTGTTCAGGTTATGTCCTGAGTGAGGACATGCAATTGCTTTCACTCAAGTGGAGTTCCCCAAACTCAGGTTGGCGAGGGTGTCCCTTTCCACCGGAATACCCTGCAACTCAGATGCTCCACTTGCTGTATTTTCCAATGATAAAGCCAGTTGTAGTGCCTGTGTGAAGTCCAGTTGGCCTTTGGATAATAGGCGCTTTTGCATGGTTACATCATTAATTCCACATCCCAAATGGTCTCTCAGCAGCTCACTAAGGGTTAAACCAAAGTCACATGCCATTGCCAGTCATCTTAACCTAGTCAAAAATCCTGATAGAGATGCCCCGGTTCTTGAGTTGCCGAGTAAAAACAATAGTGTAGTAGAATTACAGGAGGCTTGGGGTCATAATATTCCTTAACTATGTCCATCAGTCTTGAAAGATTTTAGTATCTGGTGCCTCAGGGAAAGTAAGGCTCCTAATAACAGGAAAAACTGCAGCTCCACAGACTGTCAGGAGGATTACCCATTGTTTTTTGTCTGCCACGATGTTGTATGCCCAGGAATAATAACGCATTCTTTCCACAAACTGGGCCCAATCCTTGATGGCAGGGTTGGACAAGTCAGCTTCCCAAACAAAGGCATGATGTAAGAAATGCTTACCCCAACTCAAAGAGTTGCGAGCGGGTTTCTTCAGGATTGTGCTTTACTGTCATTGCCAATAGCTCCACACAGATTGGTACACTGTCACCAAGTCACCCTTTATTTACACAGAAACAGTCCTCGACTTTAGCACTGCTTCCTCAGCGTCAGCTCACTGGGTCCCCTTTTTATTTGTCAGCCTGGGCTCCCTGACTAGGCCAGATTAACAACCCCAATCAGGGAACTCCTATTCTATGAGATCTAGCTGGCTGACCTTGTTATAATCACTATATCCCTCCCCCTCTGAGTCCGAGGACATTGGTCGGCCATTTTTCTTGGAGAGCCCCTTAGGGCGTTTTAGCACCAGGGCAGGTTCCTCTGACTCAGTGTTGGAGTGTTTGTGTGGGAGTGTGTGATGGGGAGACAGTATAGAGGGAGCTTTACTCTATATCTAACCCTGTGCTGTCCCTGTCCTGGGGGTGTGTGATGGGGGAGCAGTGTAGAGGGAGTTTTACTCTGTATCTAACCACATGCTGCCCTGCCCTTGGAGTGTTTGTTGGAGACAGTGTAGCGGGAGCTTTACTCTGTATCTAACTCTGTGCTGTTCCTGTCGTGGGAGTGTTTGATATGGATAGTGTTGAGGGCACTTCAACTTCAGTTTAAAAGTGTAGAGGGAGCTTCAGTCTGACTTTGGGACACCTGGGTCTGGGTTACTGAGATGTTGAACAAAAACAAAGTTGCTGGAAAAGCTCAGCAGCTCTGGCAGCATCTGTGAGGGAAAAAACACAGTTAATGTTTCAGGTCCAGTGACCCTTCCTCACCAGACCCGAAACGTTAACTCTGTTTTTTCCTTCACAGATGCTGCCAGACCTGCTGAGCTTTTCCAGCAGCTTTGTTTTTGTTCCTGATTTACAGCATCCGCAGTTCTTTCGGTTTTTATTGAGTTGTTGAGTCTGTCATTATCGAGCGAGAGGTTCTGATGGACTGTTGAATGCTGTGGCTATACTCACCGGCAGCATAAGCATGGTCCCAGGGGGTCCAGGTAAGCCATCAGCTCCAGGTAGTCCAGACCGTCCACGGGGTCCCTGGTTGAAGGACAAAACAGAAATTCACAAGGTGTAGCCTTGAGAAACCATGGAGACAGGACAGACTCCTGAAAGGGGGAGGGGGCAGTTTCAAGGATAGGATGGAGTGGGTGGTGGGGTATTGGGACAAGAGCAGGGGAGGCTATTCACTCCCTTAAGCCTATTCCACCATTCAATGGTAGATCTGTGCCCTCACTCCACATGCCAAATAGTACCCAACCCCTTAATGCCCTTACCTAAAACGTGCAGTAATCCCTGGGGTAAACATGCTCAGTGATGGAGGGAGGCAAGTGTTGTCAGTGAAAGTTCAGGCAAAGGAAGGAAGTGACATGGTATAGAGTGGGGAGAGTGTGTGCAGGCTCTGGAATTGGCAAGAGAAGAGGTGTTTAAAAGAGAGTCTGGAATTGAGCAGCAGCTGCAATAGCAGGATTTGCCACCAGATGGCAGTGAGAGACCACAATGAAGCTCGCTTCACAGCACAAAGCTGAGATGTTTAACCATGAAAAATAAAATAATGTGTTTTGTCCCGTCCCTTTTACTCATTTTTAAAATAGTACAGCAGAATTTGCCAAGTGCAAAAAGCCAACATTTTCTCCTAATCCAAAGAGAATCTGTAGCTTTAACATGTTCAGAATCTGATGTGTTTGAGGTTTAGGAATTAATAAATGCACCCTCGCTGTCTGATGGAAAGCCTACAATTCTCCAAACAGTGTGGGTGCTGTGAGAGGTTAGGGGAATTCTGAGATATAGTATTCTTTGTAGTTTCTCAGGAAATGGGAGATATGGGAGAGGGAATAGGTGAGACAGACAGATCCAAACTATTCTTGTGTGAGGAGCTGGTAGAAGTTCAGAGTATGATGTGGCATGGATAGTATAGTGCCAGTGTACAACAGACTGCATAGTGCCAGTGTACAACAGACTGCATAGAGCCAGTGTACAACAGACTGCACAGTGCCAGTGTATGGGACATTGTTCAGTGCAGTAAATGGGACATTGCACAGTGCCAGAGCAAATGAACCTTTCAATTTTGGGGTGGTGAGATCAGGTCACATGAAGCTGGTAAGTTTCTCCCAATGTAAACACTCCCTAACCTCCACACCCTGCCACCCCTCCCCATGCTCTACCCGACCCCTCTCTATACCCTCACTGACCTCTCTCTACACCCTAACTCCTCCTCGCTACCCCC